CCCCCTGCCCCGGGTTCTGTTTTGGGGCTCCCCCGCCCACCCTGGATGTCCCCCCCAGTGTCCCCATGGCCGTGTGGCCTCGGGGACCCCCCCCCTCTGTGGGTGCCCCCCATAATTTGTGCTCTGCTCCCGCAGGTTCCCGTCCTCGCTGTGCGTGGGGCTGGGCCAGGTGAGTGGGACCCCGCCGTGTTTTGGGGTGCCGTGTTTTGGGGGGTGCAGTGTTTTGGGGGGTGCAGTGTTTTGGGGGGTGCAGTGTTTTGGGGTGCAGTGTTTTGGGGCCGTGTTTTGGGGGGTGCTGTGTTTTGGGGGTGCAGTGTTTTGGGGGGTGCTGTGTTTTGGGGGTGCAGTGTTTTGGGGCCGTGTTTTGGGGGGTGCTGTGTTTTGGGGTGCCGTGTTTTGGGGTGACCCCTGCTCTCTTGCAGATGGTGGCCACCGTGGCCGTGCTCTGGGTGGGGAAGGCGCTGCGGGTGGTCAAATTCCCTGACCTGGACAGACACATCCCCCGGCGGGTGAGACCCTGCCCCGGCACCCAAATCCCCTCCTCGGGCACCCAAATCCCCTTCCCCGGCACCCAAATCCCCTCCTCGGACACTTAAATCCCCTCCCCAGACCCAGCTCCGTTTTCCAGACACCCAAATCCCCTCCTCGGGCACCCAAATCCCCTCCTCGGGTACTCAGATTTTCTTCCCCAGCGCCTAAATCCCTTCCCCAACACCCAGCTCCCCTCCTCGGGTACCCCAAATTCCCTTTCCCAGCACCCCAAATCCCCTCCTCGAATACCGAAATCCCCTTCCCCAGCACCCAGCTCCCCTCGGGCACCCCAAATCCCCTTCCCCAGCACCCCAAATCCCCTCCCCAGCACCCAAATCCCTTCCCCAGCTCCCCGGCCCGGGGCTCTGTGGATGCCCGCGCTGTTCCCGGCTCTGTGTGTGTGTGTGTGAAGGTTTCCATGGCGGGCTGGCAATAATTCCGTGTCTATAATTAGATTTTCTATTCGTCTCTTTATCCACCGAGGGTGCTCGGGGGAGCTCGCTCAGTTTGTCGCTCTCCTTTGCAGACGTTTCCTCTACCTCTCCTGTATTTCGGGAACCAGATCACGGGACTGTTCAGCACAAAGAAGCTGAAGTAGGGATGGGTTTGGGGCACGGCGCGGGTTTAGGGCGGTCCTGGGGCTTTCCAGGATTGCCAGGGAGCCCTGCGGGGCCGCGGGGCTGGGCGGGAACCTCGGCTTTCCTTTCCCCTTTTCCCCTTTTCCCCTTTTCCCCTTTTCCCCTTTTCCCCTTT